TATGCACATAAGTGTCTCGTAAGGCGGTAATAGGGGGTTCGAAGGGGTATCCGTGAGCTATGTGTGCAGTATTCAACGTTCACAGCAACACCGGAGAAGCAATCACAAGAAGCACAAGGGGTTTGGAGGTGTTTGCGCTGTTTGAAAGCATCATCGTTGTGTCGTAGATAAAAAAAGGATACAGCGAACAGTTAAAAGAAGTTTGTTTTTTGGAAACGAATTTAAGAACAACGTGGTTATATAAGAAACCCACAAGTGATTAAGTTGTTTGGTGCCTGGCAATTATGTGCGGCTACTGCATAACTGGCGGTGTGGAGGACAACGTTGGTAGAAGAATAGCGACTGCAGAACAGAGCCTATTGAGCGGTCTTTCTGAGCTTTCTGGTAACTATTATTACAGCTCGGCAAAATACCATTGATATTCATTTGTAAGAAACCGAGAGATGACAAACAAGGCATAGTAAAAAATGGAAAAGTAGGACTGTCTTTGAGCCACTTACACCTGAGCACTTCCAGTTTCAATTAGAGTCACAACGCTAATCCCTGCAAAAGTTGAAAAGGTGGCGCTCATTTCGAATGATGTAGATCTCAGCAAAGTATAGAACAATGCCAAGCAGAAGGTTCTTGCCGGCAGAAAGTGTTCGTGCTAGACATTAGTTCAGGCTAATGACACTTAATTCGATTAAAAACACAATTTTTAAATTCCGCAATTTGTGAAACTCAAAAGAAACTAACCTCTGAAATGAAACAGTGATTGGACGACGCAAGGCATGGAATGACTTTGATCAGTATATAAATATGAAAATAAAAAAAATGGACAATTAGAAGGCAAATCATATAGATTATATTCAATTTCGAGTCAAACAGGCGAAAATACGATGGGTAGTTTGGCACGCGGGGTGATATGAGCAGTCATTATTATTAAATGAACTCTCTGTGGAGCCGTCTTGTTCATCTAACTTTCACCTTCAACAGCTAGCAGACTTCCTCCTGAAAGGTGCATATAACGACTATGGAGAGACTGTGCTAACCCGGATTTAATCTGTACTAGCGACTAGAATGCGCTGACAGGCTCCAAAAACACAGCAAACCCAAAGATAAATTTTAGTGCTAATTCGAAAATAATTTCCGGGCTACTAAACTGTACCCTTAAGAAAAATGTATTGGCCGAAATTTATGGAATTTTCCACTTCTACTAGCGCGAAATTGTTGTTCAAAATAGACGTCTCTTGTACCTAAATTTTGACATTACTATATATACATTACACTTGCTTGCCTGTAGCGTTTATTTACGTAGGTAACATCAAGTCAGGCTTGACGCTAAAGCATGTTGAAAAATTGAAGAAAGCGTGACTTTCTTTGCTCAGCTAGGCCATTACTACGAAACGCTTACATTGTACCCACTGAATAGGCACACGCAACGAGACCAACTACAACAAGTAATATGCCAGAACGTTGACAACTTTTTTTTGTGCTAAAACCAGTTTTTACCGTATGTCTCGATTGACGATGATCTTTTAACCAAAATCAGCATCTCATCCTAGATATACTATAACCATTCGTATATGTGTTTACTTTTATTGTAATCGTGTGCAGAAAAGAGTCTACCGAAAGCAGTTTGTTTTGGCGCGAAAAGTTTGATTATTAGTTATGTAATGTGGACCGAATCACTCAGATGGATTGCAAGGTGAAAGAGCGCAATAAATATGATCATTATCGTAAGGTCACACGGACAGTTTTACAGTAGAAGACTAAATGGAAAAACAAACGCGGTCTATTTGGCGACTTGAGAACGATATTTCAACCGGTTACTTCCGAAATCACGCGACTATTTAGCTTAAGAGAGGCGGTACGAGAGAGTGAGTGCGAGTTAGTTGCAAAAAAGAGCTCACGTACCGGAGCAGAAGGTCGCATAAAGCGTGAATACACACGGAAATCCGATATAAGTAAAAATAAACACACTTAGATTAAAATGTTCTAATGAAGAAATAAACTATTGTTATGCATTGTTGCACATTCAATCAAAGGGGGATAGATACGGGGTTACCCTGAAGATAGTATCTCTCCTTATAGATGAATATCTAGCGCACACATCAACTACACTAAAGACTATAATATCGAGAAACCAGCGGCCGTCGCATGAGCACACAGCAAAGAGAAAATCGAAGATAGGCCAGCAGGCGGATTCGGGAGATTTTGCACAAATGTTTTTTTTTGCAAATCGTTGCTTCGATATCTATTGGAGTAAGAAGGCCAAAGCAAGCGCTATAGATACGGTCTCTATGTTAGCGACGAGTCGACGAATTAGACCGCTTAGAAGAGACAGCAAAGGAAGGCCGTGTAGTTGAAACACAGGAAAATGGTGACGCCTTACGATGTATGTACATCCTTCTACTCAGGAACGATTTGCCGTGATAAAGTGTAATTTAAATGGTGATTACAAACGAAACAACTTAATAATATGAATAAATAATGTAACAATTAGAGAAATGGTAAATCATTCACTTTCGACGACTGATTGGTTGTTTTTTGTGCGCAGTAGGTACAGGATTATGGTGCATCAAAACTTCCTTCGTTTTGTCACACACATACGTCACAGATGGTGCCTATATCACAGATATGAAAAAAAAACATAGATCCTTCACTCGTTTAACAACGCTTAGGTATATTTCTCTTTATGACATTACGTGAATTAACTCCTGGCAAAAGCATGCTTTACTTTCGACAAACCCTTTTCCGTCTCTCAATTTGCTTTAGTATACTTTTTTCTACGCACCGCTGTCATTTAGCACGACTTAATTATCGAACAAGTGTGAGCCAAGCAAGATAATTTATGTGGAAGTTCCAAAATAAACTTGTATGGCAAAAAAAAATAGCACATAGCTAGAGCTTTGTTTGAGTAAGCCGACGTCTTTTTTTGGACAAAATTAATAAAATAATGCTAAGGCAGAATTGAAGGCAGAATTGTTAAAGTTTACGTCCACAACTTGCGCTGCTTTCGACGACCGATCATCCGCGCAAAACAGAGTGTGCCTACTCCTTGTTACGAGGTTACACGTTTTTGACGTGTGTTCTTATAGTTTACAGGGAATGCTACAGTAGGAGCGATTCAGCATAATCACAAGTTCGTTGACGACCCACGGTTGCCAGTTTGACGTCAATTCAATAGTGGAAATTGCGTGATTGCCACCCGTGTTCGACACACCCACACACAGCTTTATTTGTTGGCATACAAGATGGCTCCATTTTGATATTATTCGATTATATAGCTCATAAACAGCTTCACAAGATCTACAATATCGCAGTATTTCATTTGCGTCGATCTTCAGGTGTTTGTTCTTACGGAGATTACGCGTTACCTCTATAGGTATAATTTTCGTTAGAACGAAGACATGTCAATCGATATATTAAACGTCTTGGTGGTATTTTACAAGTGTCGGTGTTCTTTGCAAAATAAGAGTGGTTAAGATCCTCAACTCGGACATGATCATATTTATTTTGCAACTTGAATAGGTGAAATGGTTTCTACTGTATTGCAGAGACAGTAGGCCTTCAATTAAGGTGCTAGTGATAGAGCTTTCCGCAACGAGTAAACAAAGTTTATCAGTGTTGTTTGAGGCAAATATACCCGGGTCCGCTGCTCGAACTGTTTTATTCTAAATATCGCAAAACGTGCTCACAAAGGCGACAATACATGTACATATTTATTAATTTACACATGGTTTTACAGTACGATGCCACGAAGCATGCTATCTAGTCAGTCGTGTTGAAATACTTTAATTGTTGAATTGCCTCTTTTGGTGTTAGCTTGTTTATATCTTGCATGTGTTTTCATTTGAGTGCGCAGATCTAAGCTATTTGCACAGAAAAGAATATGGTTTCTGGATGGGGAAACATAAATGACTTTACTTAAAAGTCATTTATGTTTCCTTAAGTTTTCTTTACGGTTGATTATTTTGTCTTTTTTTTTTTTCGTTAGCTAAACACAATTAAGTACATTTAGTACTTATTTCATATATTAGAGTTGACCAGTTGATTCTGTAGTTAAGTTTGACGTGCCGGAATATTGCTGTCGCCTTCTCTGAACGATTAGCGGTGCATTGACGCTGAAATTTTGCACTTCTTATCAAATAAAGTTGAAGTTATTTTGTTAAGTAAAGTGAAGACTATTTTTTTATTGGTCGACCTTTGTTCACGACCTGGGCTGTGATTTGGAAAAAAAAACGCTTTTTTAGATATCGGCTGTCGGCCGTAAGTAGCACTCCGTTTAGAATTTTCGTTCGTTAAAACGTTAGGAAGTGTTCAGTGTTTACTTTTAATTAAGAAACACACAAGGAAGAGTCAACTAAAAGCGGGGATCGCTCATTTGTCCTGCGGGTAATATCTTTCTGCGGCTTTTCAACTGAGTGATGTAACTTGCGAAAGCACAAGACTCAAATAGCAAATAGTAGATAACAAGGATAACTTTCTGAAAAATCTGCTACATGTCTGCTACTAGCCCGGCTAGAAGATGTTACGTTTTGCTCATTTCAGCGTGCTTCTGTAACTTAAGCACATCTCCTTAATTCTTAATCTGTAACTTAAACACACATTAATGAACGTTTTATCTTATCGGATTCACCTTAAACGGGTCAAACCTAGTTGCCGTTGACAGGATGGTAACTCTCGTGCCTACGACTGAAAGTTTGCTGCATCCACATACAGATTGCTGCAATATGAACGGATTTTAGCCTCTGCGTCGTGCAAGGCTTTTCTGCCGTCGGCACCAGCCGTCCACAGTATATAGACTGTAAACGACTCGCTTTCAGGATCGCTTACTCCCCAACGCGTACGTGGGTATCACGGTCCGCGCAGGAAGTGGCAACTTCAATTTTTAACAAACTAATCTAAGTAAAACATGATTCTAGTTGAATACGCGAATCTATATGGGGCGTTCATAAAGTAATGCGACTTTACATGAGGTCAAACTTCACCTTGGAAGTTTGACGGTCAGTTTTGATCTTTGCTTAGTCATTTGAAATGAGCTAAAGACATGCGGACTGACCTTTATGTATGAATTGGGTATTAAAATAAGAAATGCTAACTTGTTACCATTCGTTGCCATTCTGTAGTTATCTAGAGTGTAACGATATTGTGTGATCGTGTGTATATAAAAGCTCGTGTCGTTTGCCAATAAAATAGCACGTTTAAAACAAGCATCCATACCCCAGACGCGTGTAAAAACAGGAAGAAAGACGAACAATGTCTTCGAAAATACGCAACCTTGGTCAGTCTTCCATGCGTCAGGCTTTGAAACACCCAGTAGCTATCTTAGTGTCTATACGGTTTCAGCGTTTGAATTTCGAGGAGATGGGTCACTCATGACGAGAAGTTCGTCTCGATGGTGCGAGCCGTCTCTACCAATAGTTCCTACACAAGTTCGCTTTACGAGCCAGCATATATGAACAGGTGTGTCTTTCCCATTCACACTCGACTCGTCATTCGCTTGACGAGTAGCCCCCTCAGCCCTTAGCTACAAATAGCCTTCATACAGGCATATGTATGCAGCCCTTTCGTTGTCCCCAGACTTTGCCGTCCCAAGACAGCAACGAGTTTTAGGCCGCCGAAATGTGCATGCCTCATTTAGCTAGCCTATAAAGTAGAAGGCCGATTTGTCACTTTGCCAGAGAGCGAGAAAACCGCTGCGCCGGATCTTTCATCTGTATGGTAATGTGTTCTTCCAAAGTTTCACCTAAATTGCCCCTTTGCTTAGTTGAGTTCTATACCGCTTTCTATCTCGTCATTCAAAGCTTGTCTGGCCGCTTCACAGCCTACCTACAGCTCGAGTAGCCAGACATTGGCTGGGTATTTTTGTGTGAACAGCTGAAGCCTTTTTGCAAAAACTAGCTGAACAAAAACAACGAAAACTAGAAAAGTCTATACTTAATGAGTAAAATAAGAACGAACTGAGACGAATATATCTAAGCCAATTTCAGTTTTCGGGGTAGCATCGGCTAGATTTTACATATGACGCTTTTCACAGAAGAGTGAGAAGCACTTATGAGATTACTGGCAATTGGTTCGACATGTCGATATAAGAATTTGTCAGAAAGAATTTGTCTTTTTTCGGTTATCATGTCTCTAAAGGCATGCTAGAGGTTTACCTGATATTTCTATATACTGTATTGACATATCAGTACATTACTAATAGAAACCCGCTGCCATATGCTTACCTCTAGCCATCTTTATCGCAGTGTTTTCCTTTGGGTAGAGCCTAATACATATGATAGTGGTAACAGTGTTTACCTTGCAGCCAGACATTGTCTACACAAATTCACCGACTTCATAGCATGGCATACAGGTTGTACAGTGAGAAAACATGTAACAATATATCACAAGAAATATGATGATCAGAGACTATCAGGCTAATGTTTTTCCTATTGCCAGTCCAGGGAATTAGGTCGACACTAAGTTCCAGCTCAAAGCGGGAGTCCTTCTTTAGCGCGGTTGACTTTACTGGAGCACTTCTTGCGTAAACTTATGTGTTAGATATTTAAACTTGAAACTGACAGCGAACAAAAACAGCGTTGGCTGAAGCGTCACAAGTTCGGCTTGACAAATATCGGCGGGGTGTTTACGGGGGTACACATGCTGAACTGACTAGGAACACTCAGAATCTATGATTATATCGTAATCCTGAGGAAATCAAGGCTTTAGTTAATCATATTGTGTATGCGGCAGGCTTGTATTAGGGATGTTTTTTAAAACGCATTCAAATTATTCGCTTCCGTGCGCAATAACCGTAGTTCTTTGTTGTTCTGATACGATTCAGCTGAGTGAAGAAGGTCTATTTTTTCATTGAATGGAAACTATAGAAAAGAAGAAATACTTTCGAAGCGACTATAAAAATGTAACTTGTAAGTTAGATTAAAATTACGGAAGATAATAAAATATAATTGATACAGAGACCGTACTTTAGCGAGAAATCTATAAGTGCTGGTTCTCAGAAAAGCGACCGAAAATTCTAAAATGCGAATAAATCGGCCTTAAGTGAACACAGAACTTATTTGATTTTTAGCGAAACCAAGCTTCTGCAAACACGTTAAACATTCATTGTATCGTAGAAGACATACAAAACGACTCGACTTTTGGCGACAGGTAAAGGCATAAGGCATCATACGCGCTGCCGTATAGCCTGTAATAAATACCTGAATCCTAGGCGCAGTTTAAACATCTCGCTATATTTCTTCTGGCTAAGTACCGTGCCTTAGCGAAATTTCCGAAACCTTCAAGCGGACCAGTTACTTGCGACTCTGTCTCTGTGTGGCCCCTCGATGTCTGCCGACACACAGAGCGGTTTTCATCTATCCAGATAGCAATGTCTGTCAGCATAATCCCGGTTATGTACCTGCAAAGGCACGTTAAAAACATTGCCCTATAGTGGTCCTATGATATAACGTAGTTGCTTTCAAATCACCAGTCACTTGAACGTCTACAATCCTATAGCATAGATAAGTTTGTTGTCGACGCCCAACGTACGTAGCTAATCACGATTAAACCACGAAGTCTGCTAGAGAAACTCTCTAGCCACTTGCACTAGTGTCTACGCAACGGCGGTCTTGAGCTGCCCGCTGAAAATTGCTTGTTTGATCCATTGGAGCTTTGGTCGGAAACACAACCAGTATAAACAACAGCAGGACTAAACTGGCAGGCCTCACTAGGGCAGGTTACGTACTTGAAGTGCTGATACAGAGGTCAACTCTCCTTACAATGATGACGCCTGCTTCTTCCTACCCTAATGCCGGCACCTAATATCACGTAGCATAAAACTTTTCCGTGGAAGAACAACAGGGTGACCTGATAATTTTTTAGAGGTTCCTTCACACCTTTGTAGACTGCAATATGATAGTATTCGCTACTATAGAGCTTCAATTCAAAGACATTTTGAAACTGCTGGGCAACTGCATATTACAAACCCAGTGCTAAGACATGTTGAGTGCCGAAGTTATTATCGAGAAACCGTCGTGTCAGTTCGGTTTTGCGAAAAGACATAACACGTATTCTCTAGTGTAATTTACTGTAATGAAAGTTGAATAAAAACTCAGGGCACCTTTTTATACGTAACTTAAACTTGCTTTCTTTCTTTTATTTCCACTTCAAGTGCGAATGTTACTATGTACGCGACCATTTATAATGTTACATCTTGTTTAGGCGTCTGTTTGATTACTCTGCTTCCGGCACCATTGTACCGGTCATTTTCTTAATGTTAATGCATAATGACATTATAAATAAAGATGAAAGGACAGCAACTTATATATACAAAAAGGTATGATACAGTATGGAGTAAATTATACTTTAAAAAGACGTTTCCTGTGGTTAGTTGTACATACGCAGAGGAAAACTATACGCGACATGCTATTTACAGTACTTTTAAGATAAATATAATATATACTCTGATATATATATATATATATATATGACACACACATAGCTTCTTAATTAGCCCAAAATGTACTAAAATTGCGGAACATCAGCAGCATTAAACCGCATTTGTTTCTACCGGAGTGATATAGATTTTCTTTCACGTTACATATATATA